AAATAACTCATCACAGTTGCATGGTGAGCTGTGGCAGCTCTGGGTCTGACCCTCAGCCTCCATGACGTTGCTGCTCAGAACTCAGACAGTCACAAGGCCAGAAGGAAGGGAGACTTGGAGTTGTTAGGTGAGTTTTGCAGAAGTAAGGATTTGGGATGTGACTAACAAGACGGCACGGGGCAGAATTAAAGAAATCATATAGCCACAAGGCAGTGAATGCTCCGTATGGGCCATTTGACATTGCCTATGACGACCTTCTACTACCCGGGATCAAACTAAGGTAGGAAGGGAGGCCTATAGTGTCCAAACGGTTTCCCTGGGGCCTGGCTCGGATAGAATCCCCTGACCCAACAAACAAGTCTGAGCCTTCATAACTTGCTACCCCTTCATGTTCTTTCAGCTTCCAAAGAATCCATGCCTGCAGGGAGTGCAGGGGCCAGAGGGGACTCCACAGAGGGAGCTGACCGACCACAGTCTTCAGTTCAGACAAAGACACATCACTTTCCAAATGACACGGCGCCGTCTGCTTTCTGTATTTTGCTCTAATGGGGAAAACGAACCCCTGGGTTTCATTTCTCTCTTACTTAGTTCTGTGGCAGCAAAGAAAAGTAACAACTTTTCACTTCTCAGCTCAAAACTTCTTAAGCTATGTCTCTTCTTCATGGTCCCTTTGAGAATAAAAGTCTAGAAATGAAACACAATCCTGACAAGTTTGGAAAATGTGCTTTTACGTTCTCAGTTCAAAGCCAACCCTAAACTTTGAGACTTTGGGTCTTATTTGTTCACAGAGATGATAAGTTTGGCCTTGGGGTCTGTTTCTGTTTTGTTTAATTGAATGACTGGCTTCATGCTCTCACCATTAGGATTCCCCTGAACCTTTGCCTCTGAACAAGAGCCACGACTTCAGAGGACACCCTGACCTTGGAGGTTTGCCTTGTTTTAAATGGTGTTGAGAGGGAGAGGGGGAGGAGCAAGAGGAGGAAAGAGACCCAGACCCCGCAGTTTATTAATCATCCCATAACACAACCGGGATGTGAAAGGCACTTAGCCAGCGTTTGTGAAAGGAAATAATTTTCATTCCCAATCCTGGGAATTACATGAAGAAATAGAACAAAAGCTGCATTTCCCCAGAGAGTTTCCCCAAGTAAGTTGGAAAGGAAAATGTGAAATTCACCCAAATGACAGCAGTAGGAAAGACGTGGAAACACGGCAGCGTGTAGCTAGATACCCAGATGTCCCTTGGCTGGTGTCTCACCTGCTTGCAGCTGTCGGTATCAAAATGCCTTCTGTAAAGCGGGGTGTTGGGAATGTTCTCCAAGCAAAAGGGGGGATGGGGCAGAAGTGTCTATGCACTCCACATCTGTATTTGGTGATAGTGAGAAAACACTTTTTTGACCTAGACAGTAAAGAAAATTTTAAGGGCACACATGTGCTTCTGACTCGTTCTTGTCCCAAGAGGCATTAACTGTCTTTCAGCAATTCCCAGCAGAGTTTGGGAGGGACCTGACTCTGATCCCAGTACCCAGCCTGTCCCAGGAGCAGGAGGGGATGGAAAGGTGACAAGAGTTGATTTCCTTGCCTCAGTCTGTCTTGATAGCAACTTGGGTCTAGAAATGGTCACGTGTGGCCTGCAGTCCAGCACAGCAAGCCCAGATTTGCCAGAGTATGAAGTACACAGTTAAGAGATGTGGATTCTCATCCAGGCTTTACCACCTGATGCCACCAGCTCTTAAACAGGGTTAGTGACAGCTGCTCCACCTACCTCACAGGTTTTCATGAGGATTCAGTGAGATGTAAGAGCACAAAGATGACAGCTATATTTACAATAGCAGTAACTGCAGACTTATGGGTCTAGCTCCTTGACTTGTGGGTTCAGATAAACCCCATTGTAAGTTGAAAATATCAAAATGCATTGAGTTTATATCCTGATAAATTCACGGTAAAGTCAAAATTGTAAACCAAACCATTTAAACTCAGATGTTCTCTGATTCATGATGGGATTACCTCCCAACAAACCCATTTTAGCTGGGCACAGTGGCTTATGCCTGTAATCCCAGCACTTTGGGAGGCTGAGGTGGGAGAATTGCTTGAGCCCAGGAATTCGAGACCAGCCTGGGAAACAAAGTGAGACCTCATCTCCACAAAAAATAAAAAAAAAATTACCCGGGGACGATGGCACTTGCCTGTAGTCTCAGCTACTTGGGAGGCTGAGGTAGAAGGATCTCCTGAGCCCAGGAGGTAGAGGCTGCAGTGAGCCGTGATTATGCCTCTACACTCCAGCCTGGGGGACAAAGTGAGACCCCAACTCAAAAAAATTGTAAAGTTGAAAAATCATTAAATCAAACCATGTGAGACCATCTGCACTAACATTTATGAAGCACCAGTCACGTGCCAGAAACTGGCCCCATGTGCACGTATGTTACATGTTATATGTGCTCCTGGCAATGACCCTGAGCTCTTTTAGTCCCTGTTTGACAGGTGAGGAAATGGGAACTTGGGGAGATTCAGTAACCTAAGATCGGTTACCACTGGTGCACAGCCGAAGCAGGACAACTGAGGCTCACAGTTATGACACCATCAAAAGATGCAGGATATGGACCCAAGGAGCCAGGTAGAGTCATGTTTGAATCCTGACTCTATCACTTGGCAGCTGTATGACTGTGGAGAAATTCCTTAACATCTCTGTGCCTCAGTGTCTCATTTGTAAAATGAGGGTAATCAGAGAACCTGCCTGTTAGGGTTGTCATGAGGATTACATGAAATATACACGAAGTACTTAGGGGCAGGAACGACAGTTAGCAAGCCCTATTTAAATGCTAGCTTTTTTTCTTTTTTTTAAAATTTGAGTTGGGGTTCCCACCCTGTTGCCCAGCTTGGAGTGCAGTGGCATGATCACAGCTCACCACAGCCTCGGCCTGCCAGGGTTCAGGTGATTCTTCCACCTTAGCCTCCAGGTAGCTGGGACTACAGGCACATGCCACCACACCTGACTAATTTTTTGATTTCTTGTAGGGACAAGGTCTTGCTATGTTGCCCAGGCTGGTCTTGAACTCCTGGGCTCAAGCAATCCTCCCACCTTGGCCTCCCAAAGTGCTGGGATTACAGGTGTGTGCCACTGTGCCTGGCCTATTTTCTTAAATGCTCCTATTAAGTAATTGACCTCCCTGCCTAAGTAGGGGCAAGAAAAGGTGATGGAGCTCCTTACTCTTGTTACTTTTGCTGTATGTTTTCCCTCGAAATCCTTGTTGTTAGCGAGAAACCTATCCAGGACGAGGAACACTGTCAGGTGGTAGCATTGCCTGGGAGAGAAAGAGCAAAGCGGTTTCTGTTTTATCTTTGGAAGGAGAAAAGTCAGAGCCTGTGATCCTGCCTCTGGTTGGCAGCTTGCTTTGCTTCTCTGGCCTCAATGAGATATGCCAGTTTAATGCCCAGTTATACCTAAACTGCCAGAAATTGTGAAGCAGGTGCTTTAGTCCTGGCTAAAAAAAGAAGAGGATTTTGCTCAGTGTCTATTATGAGTTAAGTAACCATTTCCAGTTGTGAACAAGTGACTGCATCTCCCTGCATTTGGTAGCACCCTGGAGCCCACTATTTATTCTTTTGAGTACACACTCCTGGGAACAAACTTCAGGTGCCCGGGAAATTTAGCAGGGTTGACGAAGTGTTCTGTGAGTCCCCAGCACTTCCAAAGCACCTTCCTTCTTTCCTGGGTCTGCTTCTCTGGGTTGAAGGCCTCAGGAAACCTCTGCCAGGCTGGCTGTGCAAACACCCACTAAGAGGCCAGATTAGCTTGCAGGAGGTTTGCGTCTCTGCTCACATCTGTAAGTGCTAGGCTGGAACGCCAGCATCTGGGGGCCTGCCTGATGTTCACCAGTCAAGCATCTGGCTGTCACCCCAGAAAACAGACTTGTTTATGAGCGGCGAGTGTTCTGCTCAGCCCGGCAGGCACAAGGACCCCAGGTGCGGCCCCTCTTAGCCTTAGAATCTCTAAGGAGAGGAGCCCTCCCACTCCTACAACCCATTTGACCCCACCACTCAATTCCCTGGGCTGCTCCACCAGGGGGACCCTGTTGGAGGGCATGGCAGACCGGGATCCCAGCAGACAGCCCGTTGGGCAGGCTAAGGGCTGGCAAACTCACTGGCCTCCAGCCCGTGGGGACAGGCAGACACTGTCATCAAGTAAGAACTTGACTCAGCCTGTAATCCCGCGCCTTTGGGAGGCTGAGGTGAGTGGATTGCCTGAGCCCGCGGGTTCGAGACCCGCCTGGACAACTTGGCGAGACTTCA